AAGAGAGAGAGAGAGAGAGAGAGAGAGAGAGAGAGAGAGAGAAACTTTAGTCGTGATGTTAATGCCAGGTTAGACGATAATGTTTAATGGTAAAGTTTAACAATGAAAATTTCTTCAGAAGACTGGATGCAAACAGAATGCATATGTGATCTTTTAATGAATAACTTTAAACCGAAAAAATAATATTGTAAAGATATGTATAAATTATATTAGAAGAAAAAGTTAAAGAAGAAACGACGATATTACGGACTCATTACAAATACGTAAAGTTATGGCCTGAAAATGAGGAACGTGTGTAAATACCCCCTCGTAATGTCTCATGCAACATATTTATTATACTGTAATAGGTGCGAAATAAATAAAACTAGAAAAGAATATTACACATAATTACCAGTGTAATAGTTTGTTGCTTTATGTTATTGCAATTACCAACGCGTTTCTGTATCCTATCCCACGATAAATTATTCAAGCTGTATATGATGATACATCAAGATGATTTATGATAATAAGTACTTTCCATTCGGTGACACAAGTGTGTCACAAAAGTGTTGTTCTATCTATGTTACTCTGAATAGCAAGAAAGATAGAATGACGCAAAATGAGAAGTACCACTAAATGAGAAATACCTAATATTATCGTAAAAAATAATGAATCTGTTTTATTTCTTAATAAAACGAATTAAAAATTTGACAGTAAGTAATAAAGATAATAAAAGCTTTTTTATTTTTATTAATAATTCTCAAATTTAGATCGTTTAGATGTCCAAGCGGCTGTTTGATCTGAGTTCTTGAAGCGATTTTCTAATTATCCAATTATACTATTTAATGTACCTCGTCGTTACTCCAACTCTTATCTTCCTCCAGTCTGTTGTACACATTTATTCTTAACTATCCGGACATCTTCAATTTGAAACTAAAGTAGCAGAACCGTGCAAAAAGTTTTTGAGGTCTTAGTTGCTAGGACCTAGTGCAAAGGTAAAAATGAGAGCATTCATGAATATAGCGTGTCTATACGCGCTCTTTTTAAAAAAGCGATTACGTCTTTCTCAAGACGCATACATGTGTTATATTTGTAGGTATATATAAAAACTAAAAAATAATAAAGAATTATTTAACACTGTTCCGTAACTTTTCGTTACTATTGTAGAACTTCAATAATGTCAATGTATTTAATAATAACTTCTTATTAGGTTGCCTTACAATTATTGTAAGATAACCATTGTCAAAAATTACACATATTATCTTATCATAAGAAAGTTAAATATAAAAGTTATTTAGGTAAAAAAAATTGTATTTACAATTCGTTACAATAATGAAGATTTTATAGTTTTAGATATACAAAATTAAATTGGACAGAAATTAATTTGGATTGAAACAATAAAAAATAGTTACGACTTAATTAAAATTTCGAGACCTCTTAAGACTAAAAGCTCTAGTTCGATGCATCTGTTGCACTCTCCTTTTACACGGCCTTGTAAAAGTAATGAACAGAAAGAGGCAAGTAAATTGCAACATTTAGACAGTACCTATTCTGTCAAGTACGTTTGTTTAAACGTTACCTGATAAAGGAACCTCTCATCTTAGATAACATATCGAACATATCTTGAGAAAACCTCTTTAAAACAGTGTTTCTTGAACGACCATTTAGTATTTTTCAAATTTTCTCCAACTCAAGTTGTTTTTTTATAATGTCTATTATAATGTAAACGAAATTCTATTATTGTGAAAAAAATATATTTATATTTATGTGAGGTAAGTATCTTATAAATTATTCAACATACATTCTTGCATTTGAGTCTTGAATTTAATAAATCTTAAAGAAATAATATCTAGGGCAAGAGTAATGTATGCGTATTATTTAATAATAGATAGTTTTTAATTAGACTAAATCGAACATCTTTTGCTTTAAGACTTTAAACATTTATTTAATTTTCTTTGTCACTCATAAACAATCTTTATTTCTCTAATTATACTTTAATTTAAATTGTAACATTTTAATTCTAGATATAAAACATTTTTAATAAAAATTAATTCTAATTTCTATAATAATTTCCCTGGAAAAGATTTGCTAAACTATAGATTGCTTCTTGCTCCCTTGATTTTCCTGAATTATAATAAAACATAATTTTTAATTATAACAGCGTGTTCTATAAAGTCAGTTGCAATGGCCAAATTAATACCATTGATACTTTCATTGTCGAAACACAAGTTGATAATAGTAACATTGATTGGTGTGATTATTGGAATGTCATGCGGTTTGAGTCTTAAGAATTATAGCGGAAGAACATGGTCCCAACGAGATATCATGTACATCAAATTTCTTGGAGAGTTGTTTCTTAGAGTGGTGAATTGTTTAATATTACCACTTGTTACGTCCAGCATTGTGAGTGCCACTTCTAATCTCACCAAATCTGGTAAGTTCTTTGAGATCATCAAAGTTTTTAATGAGATCATATATATATATATATATATATTACACCTTTTATATTAAAAAGGAATTAAATAAAAAATTAGATACATATTAAATATGATATATTATAAAACATTTCACGTAAAGAGTTATTGAAAGATATTACAAGGAACGAAAGTTGGTTGCTTTAGAGTTCGTTATAATTACATAGGATCTATTGGATTGATGGCATTGTGCTATTATCTGACGACTACTACGATTGGGATAACGTTATGTGTTGTACTTGTTCAGACAATTCGACCAGGCGAATTAATGAGAGATAAAGAAACTATAAGTACACCGATATCCACGAAAACTTTTATGACAGTGGATACAATTCTAGATATGTTTCGGTAATTAAATGAATGCATGTACATTATATATTATGAGTTTTATTGTCATATTTTTAAAACTTTCTTGCAATACTATAACTAATAGAAAAAAAGGTGGTATATGGCCTTTCTTAATATCGCCGCTATCAGGTAGCCGTAAGCCGATAGCGGATTCTAAGGATTATCTACGGAACAATTAATGTTTAATAGCTTACCGTAACAAAATGGCGTAAACAAGTCGATATACAACATACGTTTTACTTTTGAGCACTTCGAAACGTTTTTAAGATACATTTTGGCATCTATATAATTATACATACTTTTCTTCCATCATTATAAACTTGAGCGTATTATATATTAATAAGTTGTTTGAAAAGTTTGTTTCAATTTTGTAGCTCAAAATTGTATATACAACATCTTTGTAAAAAATGAACGAAATTTAAAGTTAGAAAAGAGGTTCTGAAGCTTAAAATCTCTACTTTCGAAAGATTATTATATTTTTTTGAATTTCTGTGAGTTTGTTAATTTTTGTATGTAAAAAACTACACATATATTTATATATATATAAACGAAACGATTTTTTGTTTCTGAGTTATTCGTGTTCAATAAAGAAACATTTTTATTTTAATTGTTTATAACTCCGTTAAAAATCATCGTATTGCAATTAAGAAATCAGATTCTTAAAGCTGAAACTTTGCTTTATCGAATGATATAATCGCTAATTTTTTAAATGTACAATACTATTTTAAGTTAGCAAAATTTGAAACGAACTTCCCGAGAACAACTTAATAATATACGTAAATTTAAATGTACACTCTTTGCTAATACAGCTCTGAATAAGCTGAATATTGTACTTGTTCAGACAATTCGGCCAGGCGAATTAATGAGAGACAAAGAAACTATATAAGTACACCAATATTCACGAAAACTTTTATGACAGTGGATACAATTCTATAGATATGTTTCGGTAATTAAATGAATGCATATACATTGTATTATGAACTTTATAACATTTTTTTTAAACTTTTTTGCAATACTTATATAACTAATAGAGAAAAAGGTGGTATATAGCCTTTCTTAATATCGCCGCTATCAGATAGCCGTAAGCCGATAGCGGATTCTAAAGATTATCTACGAAACAATTAATGTTTAATAGCTTACCGTAACAAAATAGCGTAAACAAACCAATATATGATATGTATAACATACGTTTTACTTTTGATAATATCTTTTGTAATATATCTCATTTTTTAAGTTTTTAAATTGAAGTACGTAGTGACATGATAAATTAAATGGAAATAATTGCCAAGCTAGATATAAATATAAATTGTACGTATGTATGTCAATACATTCTTTATTATATAGCAATTAATTTAAACGTTTTGACTCTCCATTTTTAAGTCATTCTCAGTAATACAAATTTTATTAGTTATTTAACTTATTACATAAATTTTGAATAGTTATCGTAAAAAGAATAATAAGATTGAAAAGTCACAAGCATTGATAAGTTTCTTGCAAATAGATGAGATTCAAATATGAGTTTCACATTTGAATCTCATCAGAAATAGTTTGTATAGTTATATATGTTGTATCATACCAAAACTCAATAGGATGTAATTTTCATGACAATGACATTATATTTAGGAATGAACATTCTTAACAATAAATCTAATCTGTGATAATTATTTAAGATTTATGTAATAAAAATTAGTAATGTGGAGAGTCGAAATGTTTAAGTTAGTTATTATACAATAAAAAATATATTGTCACACATATACATTTAATTCTGGCTCGAATTGGTATTTTTTGTTAATTAATTTTCTTTAGAGCTTTTTTGTTGTCGAGTTATTTATGATAAATTGTAGCTCATATAAGACTTAAAAAAACAATAAGTAATCATTTGTGTGTTTAAAAACATATCTATATAAATAGCTTCTTAGCTATGTTTAAAAATATACTTTGTATATGAAAGAACTCTCTTTTTCATATAATCATATATATATATTTTTTTCTTACAGTAATCTGGTACCTGAAAATTTAGTACATGCAAGCATGTATCAGGTATGTTTGATTAGAGATAATATATATATAATTTTTAAATATTAGATCACGCTATCTCTCTTTCAAAGCCTCTTTCATTATTCCAGCATCTTGAAAATTTTAAAAAGTTATGTTTTCCTTATTACAGTATCAAACCATTTTAGAACAACCAGCCAATGCATCAGCAGGTATTACGACTGCTAGACATAGTATATTATTTTATTTGCTTCTAAGCTCTTCCGTTTTTTTTTTCAATTTTGTTAAACTTGCAATCATGTCTTCGTCAATTTAATTTTTTTAGATTTTTTTAGAATGTTATTAAAAAGAATTTGTCTTTGAAAGGATGCTTTTTAGGGACGCAAATAATAAAAGGAAGCTTTAGTTAATTTTATGTCAGTTTTGTACAGGCTTGTGAGCAGTGTAAGAATAAAATTAAATTTAAAATATTGCTTCAGCTATTTGCGAAAGTACATATGCAGAATAAAAATGTAAGCTAATTGTAACGTAATTATTTAAAAATTAGGCACATTTATGAAAGCATATTTAATAATTCGTTACAGTACCAATAGAAGAATGGCCCATAATGAGCGAATATGTAGCGGGAACCAATGTCTTGGGTTTAGTATTTTACAGTTTGTTAATAGGTTTAGCAATTGGAAAAATTGGTGAACAAGGAAAGCCATTATCGAATTTTTTCACTTCCTTAGCTGATGTCACGATGAAAATTATGAAATGGGTAACACTGTACGTTATTGTGCATTAAAGTATGAAACTTCTTAATATAATTCAATAATCAAAAATATGTAACATACAAAATGTATTAGATATTACACATAAATGATAATACAACTTTTTTTATTTAGATTAGCACCAGTAGGAGTGACATTTCTTATCGCTGGTCGAATGCTAGAAATAGATGATTTTAGCGATATAATAAGCCATCTTGGATTTTATATTTTAACAGTGTTCCTTGGATTAATACTGCAGGGTTTTGTGATCCTACCGCTTCTTCATTGGATCATCACGCGTAGATCGCCGTATAAAATTATATCAAAGCTTGGCCCATCTTTTGCAGTGGCCATTGGAACATCTTCAAGGTATAACAAAAAAATTGACATGCGAATAAGACAAAACTTCGCGTTCTAAATTAAACATATAATTTAGCACTGCCACGGTTCCCTACACAATACAATGTTTAGCAGACCTCGGTATAAATCCCAAAATAACAAATTTCATTATTCCGATTGGAGCAGCAATAAATATGGATGGAATAGCACTGTATGAAACTATTGGGGCGATATTTATTATACAATTACGAGGACTGCAATTCTCATTGTTGAAGATAATAATTATCAGGTCAAAGACACGTTTGCTTTTTTAGAAAAACATTCTGTATGATTTGAAATGATATAAACTGAACCTTTCAATTCTTTTATATAACTTTAACGTTTTTACAGTATTACATGTACGGTATCCTGTGTGGGCGCTGCTGGTATACCCAGTGGTGGTTATATGATGTTAATAATGGTGTTAAATTCTATAGGAGTACCCATTGAAGATGTTTCACTGATTATCGCTGTCGACTGGTTCATGTGAGTATGATATCGTTCATATTTAAGCTGAGAAGTTATATAAATTTAAAATAATAAATTTATATATATATTTCATCAATTTCATATGAATTTTTTTGCTATGCAGTAAAAAAGAAAATATATTTATTTTGCAGCGACCGTTTCAGAACAACAATCAACATTATAGGTGACGCGCTTGGTGCAAGCATTATATCACGTTTTTACAAGAAACGTCTGGAAGATTTGGAAGACGAGATATATCCGCTGGAAACAAACGTCGGCAATATGAAAATTCCATAAACGTTCCGATAATAAAAATTAAAATTAAAGAGATTTCATTATTCTAAACTAAAAAAAGTGAGAAAATGTAATTGTCTTAATCTTAAAAATATTCAACTTATTCAGCAAAATAAGCACAATTTACAACAAACGTGATAAACTTTGCATTATGATAATTTGTTGAATTAAATTTTCCTTAATGTAACATTCACTATGTTTAAGTAAATAGAAATGAGGTAGAAAAATAAAGGTTGAAAATTTTTATCATATATTTTATTAAAAAATACTTACATATTTTTTCATAATCAAGAATTAAAAATATTCATTGTGCGATAAATTCTTTGTTATATCCCACTATCGTGTTTCAGTTTGTTATAAAAGCTATATCGTTTTACACATTCATAATATGAATTACAAATTGTATTCACACTCTATAAATAATTTTGTATAAAACAAATTAAAAAATTTGAACTGTTATACAACAGATTACAAATCTACAATAAATTTTAAATTTATAATATTAAAAATAACTTATACGATTACACTTTTTTACTTTTATTCAATAAAAAATGCTAGTAAGATGATTCTTTGGTAGGAATATCTGATGACTGTTTATGAATTTTTCTGTTCAAGTTGGACAATTACGCTTTTTACTTCCGTGTATGCCTCAAGACCATATTCTCCAAGTTCTCTGCCATGTCCTGACATTTTGAAGCCACCAAACGGCACTTGAGGAATTATCGCATTATATGTGTTAACCCTGCAAAAAATTAATCACGAGATTAACTTATATTTTTTCAGAGCTTTATTCTTTATAATATTTCCAAACGACTTACCACACAGTACCAGCACGAAGACCTTGCACTATGTAATTTGCCTTATTAATATCTTTCGTGAAAACTGCAGCAGCTAATCCATAATGGGTGTTATTAGCGCGTTCAATAACTTCTTCTAAATCATTGAACTTCAGAATTTGCTGAACTGGACCAAATATCTGCCAAAAAAATGTAGATTTGATTTCAATTTCAATATGTTCACGTCATACAGACAACTTTAATGCTTACCTCTTCTTTAGCTATAGTCATATCGTCTTTAACATTTGCAAATACCGTTGGAGCAACAAAATAGCCTCTATCGCCAATGCGTTCGCCACCTGTTACCAAACTAGCGCCTTGATCTTTACCAGATTTTATCAAACCCAGAATTTTATTTAACTGATCCTCGTCAATCTTGAATAACAATATTAATAATATAATAATAACATTGTTATTATTGACTATAAAATTAATAATACGATATTAATTTTTATATCAATTAATATTAGGCATCTAATTTATACAAATTCAAATATACCTGTGGACCTTGCTCTATTTTCAAGTCAAATGGATCTCCCACGGTTTTAGATTTAGCTCGAAGTGCACTTTTTTCAACGAATTCATCATAAATATTCGATTGAACAAAGGTTCTTGATCCTGCACAACAGCATTGACCCTGGCAAAATTTCATTTTAAACTAAGCGACACACGAGTCGAAGAAAGAATAAAGAAGAATAATACATCAGAGTAAATTACCATATTAAAGAATAATCCGAAATGCGCTGTTTCCACCGCTGTATCTACATCGACATCTTTAAGAATGATATTAGGAGATTTTCCACCTAACTCCAGTGTAGTTCTCTTTAAATTGCTTGTAGCAGCAGTTTGTTTTATTAACTGGCCGATTTCGGTAGAACCCGTAAATGCGATTTTGTCGACTTTGTTGTGAGCGACTAACGCTGCACCGGTTTTACCATAACCAGGAACAACATTGATCACTCCATCAGGAAATCCAGCTTCTTTAGTCAGTTGTGCCAGATAAAGAGCCGTCAATGGAGTCTGTTCAGCAGGTTTTAGAATAATAACGTTTCCTATAAAGAATAAAATGGTTCTAACTTTATGTGCTATAGAATTTATGACTTCAAAGGTTTCGTTCATTACGGTGAACTCTAAAGGAAGTAACGTTTTACAATGAAATATATAATTTCTGCACAATCACCTGTAGCTAAAGCTGGTCCTAACTTCCACGCCATCATTAAAACGGGGAAGTTCCACGGAATAATTTGGCCACATACTCCTACTGGTTCGTGTCTAGTATATGCGAATACCTTTCCATCAGCTGGGATCACTTTCCCATGATTCTTATCAGCCCATCCTGCATAATATCTCAATACTCCAATGCTCATAGGCACGTCCACATTATACGAATTCGAATAAGGTTTGCCATTGTCTAAAGTTTCCAAGGACTAAAATAGATAATGAATTAGCTTGCTTGTAAAAAATTGGAACGATCCGAATATTCCATTAAATTTTATTTGATTCAAGTGGTTTAAAAAATTTCTTATTAGTTTATTCTTAGAAAATTCTAAATTATTTTAAAAAATAAATAAGAAAAATGTAAAACAAATGATTACGATTGAATAAATAACGTAATTACAATTTTTACTTACAGATTATTGTCAGTTGTTAATGTTAGACTAATCAAGAAGCAAAGTTCGAAAAATATCTTGTAATCTCTTTGCATCAATTTCAAAAACAAAAATGATATCATAAAAACATGAAATTATAGTTTGACTCTTAAATATTATCTAACGTTCAATTGGTAATCTGATTCTTGTACATATCAAGTATGTTTTATTTTACCGCAATATATTTCTGATCGCGTTCGATCAAATCTGCCAGTCTATTCAAAAGAATTCCTCGTTGGGAGGCGTCCATGGTTCTCCATGGTGAATTCCTTTTGAAAGCCTTATTAGCAGCCTGTACTGCAAAATCAATATCTGCGCTATCGCCTTCTTGTACTTCAGCGATTATCTCGCCTGTGGCGGGATTAATGGTGGGAAAGGTTTTCTGGCTCTTTGATTTGTGCCATTCATTATTAATGAATATCTGAAACAAAACAAAAAACATTTATGCAACGTGTCTCTTGTAGTATGTTTCTTATCTGTCGTAACATATAAGAAACGTGTAATATTATACAGACATAAAGCAAAGAAAATGCATAATGCATACAGTTTTATCTTGTTGTTGATAAGAGTAAATCACATACGCGACATATAAAGCATTCTCTTTGTTACATACTTGTTATTGCTTATGATTAAATCATCAAGATTAGAGGACTATTATTATAAATGATGTAACTCGGCATTATATAATAAGTGCAAGTAGTATTGATTCGTAACATTATCATTTCTGAAGCTAATTAAGTACGCGCTTATAGATTAAACATTCTATTTACATTTTGATAACTCATAGAATAACGATGGTCTCCTATCACAAGATATAGAATGAGAGAAATTCGACTGTTTAACAATGTTATTTTTCTCATATTGAATAAAAGGAAGTATATTCGGACGTTTGATCATCGTATATAGGATATCTCTTGAATTAAATTAAACAATGTCCACTCATATAAATTATAATAGTTATCAGCAAATGCTAAAATTCTTGTCAATTTCTATTATTGGGAAATATTACATTGTAGGTTTCCATGAGACAAGAATTCGATTAGATAATGCGATTGTTATCACCATTGAACATTAATATCACGAGTCGTATCTGAATATATAAGCATGTATAAAATATATCATTACATGTATTCACTAATCCCCAATTTTTTCATATTGTATGGAAATACAAAGTCATAAATTAATTTGTAGATGGTCTAAAAGTCAGAATGTCCAGATTTGATCCAAACAAAAATTAGAATATTTTGAATTACAAAATAACAAAAAATACTACTTCAAAGAAGTATTCTGTAGTGATGAATATATAAATCCCCTTCTTTCGCAATGTATAATATTTTTAACATGAATAACACATTCAGTGAGAGAAAATGTCGTTTTAGATACCAGCTTATTACGAAGGTCGTAAATGTACATTATAAAAAAACCTTTTCAAATGTCATAGATTTTAATTTATAGCGTTTTAGATTTCTTTTGCTTACGCAATTTAATTATACATATAATGTGTATTGTGCAATTTAGAATTCAAATTTGGTTGAAGAATTATGTATAAATATGTTAATTTTGTGCCTATTAAAATACATACACTCGTCAAAGTAAACGTAATGAATAAAATACAAATTGAATTAAAATATAAATAAACAATAAGTTCAATTAAACTATCAACAGAAAAATATAGAAAGTAGAACATTATACATTAAACTAAATTATAAATCAAAAATACAAAATTGTGAATTAAATTAAATAGTACAAGGAGCTACAAATTTAGAAATTGATACGTTGGGCGTTGACGATACACACCGTGTGCTACGCATTTTCGGGATTTCCAGCAATATACTAAAATAACTATATAAGGTTCTCAAATTGCATAAAAATTAATAATTTCCAAATATTGAATAGCTTCAAGCTTCGGTTCCCGCAGTACACCTAAAATTGGTTGGCGCTCAATGTGAATTAAATTGAAATTTAAATAGAAAATTAAAATAGAAATTAAAAATGGAAATAAAAATTTAAATTACGCGAATTATATCTCAAACGGATTTTAAACTTCCACAGTTCTGTAATAGTTTACAAATATACGAGCCTTTGTCCGATGGTACGAGCTGTTCTATGACCTTGAACGGAGAAAGAAATGATTCGACCAATTGCACAATATAGACAAAAGAACTGACCTTGGCCAATTCCTCCTCCGCCAAAGATCGCGAAATAATTTCTAATATTTTAGAAGACTTAAAAGAGAAGAATAATCTTTATTCTTTGATTGAATAATCGCTGAAGTTAATCCCGAAAATTGATCAATTTAGACAAGATAACTTTGATATGTTTTCGATCTTAATTAATTCTAACTTAATCAGCAATTAAATTCTTAATTATACATACATAACTGATTTAATTTTGCCTTCTTTGTCCTTTTACATTTTAACAATATAACTCTATCCACGTTAAACAAAATAGTACAAAGGTAAATCAACAAGTTAATCATTGAGTAAATTCAGAGTTAAATTGGCGCCAACGCGACGGTCTTTGAGTTACTGCAGTCGGTGCGAATTGATATTCGTTTGTTGGCATTCGCGAACTGTTGTGAATTTTTAGCATCCTGCGTATAATTTTCATAAAGTTGTCGAGTCAGGGATCTCTTCGACAAGGTCACAAATGTTAGTCAGATAACGTGTTTGCCATGTTGATAACGAACAACTGTTTCATACTGATCTGTTATTGCCGAACTGTGTTCGATTCCCGGCACCAGTTCACTTCGAAATGTGCCGAAACTGGTTATTAAATTTTTTTGCAAACATTTTACTGCTACATTTCTACTAACATTGCGGATCGCGTAACATCCGGGATAGGCCGTAGAATTGTATTGTGCGGCATATGGTACGACATCCAACACTGCAAGACGAATTCCAATTATGTCCGTTACCACAAAATTTTGATCTTGGTTCAACTCATTTTTTATTTTTTTTTTTTGAAATTAGAGAAGAACAAGAAGTAAATCAAACTGAAATTAAAGTTAATCTATGACTTTGGTAGAAATAGCCATTTAGTTCTACAGAATTTCACCCGATAGTGTCACCCAAGTACACAGCATGTAATATTGTAATAATCTTACAAGAATATTACAAATTTGCTACAATACTGCATGGTAATATGTCAGTAATACATAATAAATATTGCTGCAATATTAAATGCCCGCGGCAAATTCATCGCAGAAATATTTTTGCAATTTGTAATATTACTGTAATATTAGGCAATATTTCTACATATTATGCTAATATTTTGCAATATTGCGATAGTATTTCTATACACTGTAGTAATATATTGCAATATTATTAACAGTATAAATATCGATATGATATATATCACAATATCTCAGTAGTATTTACATAATGTACATATTGTGAGTTGCAAAATTACTATAATATTTTAATCTCACTCCAATATTACTACAATATTTTAATCTCACTCTAACATTATTACAATATTACATACTGTATGGGATTAAACAAGGAGCAAATGACATCTACGAAGGGTGTGAATTTGAAAGCACCCCAAGAGCAACCGACTTCCCCTCCAGACATATTTAGATGCTCCTTCGGCATATCTAAATTTTAGCAAGTTCATCAATAGATTTCCAAAAATATGCAAAATGTATTACCTCTACTTTATATCTTTACTGACGTTTTCACCGCATTAGATCACCCTCCTATTCTTTTAAGTCTTTTCGAAACTCATGAGAAATTGAAAGAATTTGGCACAAACATTATGTTCGTATTAGAGATCATGACATTCATTTGCGCAGCACATCTCATAATAAATCCATTTCTTATTACACTTACGCCTGTATACAGAATCGGTGGGTTTACATCCGGCGCCGGCAAAACCACAGACGAGTAGCGTCGTAAACATTGAAATCTCCTCAGCAATTGCAACATTTCGCAGCAAAAAAGAAATGTTCTTTCCGCTTGGAAGGAAGAGACTGACTAAGCTGACTCGATTCATCCGTTCTTTCACACGCTGGCCTATACACCAGCGTCGCCGCAGCCTTCTATCATTCTATATAAATGAGATCTAGTGACTCGCTCTGTCCCTTCGAATGCGCGTGCTCTACTCATAGAGTTCAACAAAGAACTAGTAACATTCGAGTCGTATTAATGCATTACCTCTTTTTCATTTTGTTATACAGTTTAGTAATAAACGATCACGTAGTTACAGTCGACCGTTAAAAAAAAAAAATAATTCACAATCGAGACGATAATTAACGACACCGATTGGTAATAACATTAATTTTAATGAAAAAGTTAAAATATTCATAATCTAACTATATCGTAAGGTTTCAATTGCTAATGCAATTCTGTGATTGTATACAGTAAAACTGCACACAAAGGACAGTCTTAATATAAGAACCGACTATAAATGTCAGCCTAAAAATATAGACAAGTTCTCACATCCCAAAAAATCCTGTAAACCAATTTCAAAGTGTTCACAAATATTGAGGTTTATACATACATTTTCTGTGTACAAAGAATTAAACATTAATACATATAAGTTATAAAAAAATATTATGTAGCAATATAAAAGATTGGAATCAGACTACGTATTAAAAATTGAGATTAAAGATTGAAAGATTGAAATTTGGCTAATAAAAATAATAAAAACTAAAATTCCTTTGTTCTCATTGGTCAAATTTCAATTGTCAATCTCAATCTTTAATGTGTAGTCTGATTCCGGCCTAAGATAAGCATAGTTTTTGAATAAAAAAATATATTCGAAAAAATATTTAGGATATTATGTCTAAACTTGTGATTACGGTAATTTTATTAGGATGAATAAATGTAATATAATTAAAGAGAAATTATATATACATGTACATAGTATATAATATATATATACATACACACGCAAAATAAAAAATATAATATAAATAGCTAAGAATTTGTCTGTGTAAATATAAACTATTTCAATAAGTCGTTATAGAAATTGGAATTAATGAAACCAAATGAAACATCAACGTAAATAACATATTGTGAAAAAATGATTTAATGATAGTTCTAAAAATAGTTTATTCCATAGGGCCAATTTGATTCCGTATATTTAATTCATTACATTTAATTAACTAAAGGACACAAAAAGGAGAATCAATATGTATCTCTTCACATAATATTAATATGTAAATTTTTTAATAATCTATATATCACTGATTATTAATTATTCATAACAAAAAGTGATAATTTAGATAATTATAGTTATACATGTACACAGACTTTTATATTTTACGTATGAAAATATATGTTGGCGTACTTTAAACAATTATCTTAATTTTTACCCTATATTATGTACATTTCATCTTTTATTTTTGCAAGTTTATAAATCGTATCAAGCATGACTAACACGTTTTCTTCTTTTGGATTCAGGATTGTCTTCTAGCGACTGATTTCGTTTTTGTGGTGCTTTCAAGTTCGTAGAGTTGTCGTGTAAATCCCCATTTTGAAAGAGTTCTACGACGTCGTCATTTTCTGGTAAATTAACACTGCTAAATTTAAACGGTTCTATATCTTGAGACATAACTTGCGCGCGTAATTCACGCGCTTCTTTTTTCAGTAATTGTTTCTCCCTTTGTTTCCTCTTATTCTTTTTCTTTTTTGTCTGTTCATTATCACTATGTGAAACCTCTTTTGATTCTTCCTCTTCTTTTTCTTCTTCCGATTCACTTGTTTTTCCGTTTTGAGATCCAATATTGCTTTGTTTGCCATTATTTTGTGGAATTTCATCAGTATCACTGGAACTATCTAACTTAGCATTCTCCTTCTTTGACAACCTGATGACAAATAATATTAAATATAAAAAATCTCAGTAAAAACATACGTATATTATATATATTATGTGTGTATAAAACATAGCAATAAGACAATTTTTAAGAATCGAATTGTATTAATTATTACACCTACACATTGAGAGGCACTCCAATCTCTGTTGCCAGCTTATTGTAGGCAGTTTTTGTATCTCCGAACAGACTGTTTTGGCTTCTGTAATTTATTAATGCCGTTTTTACAGTTTGCCAATTCCATGCTTTTGACAAACAGCGTGTGTGAACAACGCGCAATAGTATCAAGAGATGTCCAATAAACTTCTGTGAAACTTTTTTCTGTGAATTAACATTACTACACAAAGTAGACTGTCCATTACTCAAATGTAGATCACTTGTCTCTTGGAGTGTATTTATAGTATTTTTACAAAGCGTCGCTTCTAATTCCATTCTCACGTTGGTATACTTCGTACTCATGTTGAGTAATCGGTTATTATTATAAAAAATTAATAACAACTCCAGCGCTTGATTTCTACGAAAGTATCGAATACTGCTGTCAAAAGTAAAGTCCACCTAAACAATCAAATAATATTCTATAAAGCAAGACGTATTTTATACAAGATATTAGAGAAAATATTTATACTCATTTTAAATACATACCAACAGAAGCGCCAGCTGCCAATTATCTTCCCAACATAACTGTAATACACCCTTAAACAACATAGGTGAAAGAACACAGTCTCTCTTCTTAAAAAACGCAGTTAAATTTTCACCATAAATTTCAACAATACTTTTGGTAACCAAGTTAGCTTGTTGCGCGCATCTTACAAGGAAGGTGCAGCATTCCGCCAATTTATCATTGAGTTCTTGACAGACTGAAGCAGAACGCTCTCCTTTTTCGATCAAAGCCTTAAAGAGACATATTATATATCACATAATCGGTAAATTTATTCTCTACAAAAATATAATTATTACGAATAATTACCTTTAACACTGTCGTTAACAAAGTCTCGTCAACATTCGTCGTATCTTTAAACTTTTTCACCGTTGATAACTTTTTTAAACAAGTCCGAATTCTATGCGCAAGTGGTTCTTGATGCGGATCCTTTATACAAAATTCTAGCAGAGCGAAAAGTGGCACGATCATATCTAGAGTAATCGCCATAGACGGGCAAGATTCTAAATAAATTTGTAACAAATCTATAACACGAGCCCTGAAGTGCATCAATGCCTGACTCGTCTTTCCTTGCTTTTTAGAGCGAGCTTGTTGATTCTCCCGAAAAGCTTTAAAAGCTGCTGCCAGCGATTTATCCAATCGTTTACCTTCCTCATCGTCTATTTCATCTACGTCGATATCTTCGTCGTCTGTTTTCATCGCAGCATCACCCAAAGCTTGATGTAACGCAATTCTCAATTTATCGGTTACGGTTTCATCCTCGTTCTCGTCCTCATTCTCAGATTCGGATTCACTTTCCGATAAAACTTCATCATTTGAAACACTTTCCTCCTCTTCATCCTCCTCTTCATCCTCCTCATTATGCTCCTCATTATCCTCTGATTCGCTTTCTGTATCCGAAGAATCGTCATCATTTTGCTTTTTCATGGTGAGCGTCTTCTGAGTATTCTTAATATCTAATACCTAAAATAAAGCATAACATATATACTTACAATTTTTTCAAACGTTCCACAAAATAAATTAATTTCTTTATAATTAAAGAAACAAATTTTATAAAAATTGTATAAAAACAAAAATTTACGGCTAATATCTGATGGACTGCAGATGGAGTAAGATACGGGCAGATATGTGGAAACACACAGCCAACTAATGAACGGAATAAATGGTCGTTCTTGGACAAAAAAGATAACAAAAGATCCACTACTACTTCAACCCATTCTGGTTCTTCTTCCATATCTGTGTTATTGAGCTTTTTATGTTTCTTGGATTTTTTATTTAATCTTTCATAGCAACATTGAAGTTCATTAATCGACATAATTGCCATTTCAGGATCTGAGAACAATTGCAGACCCATGTGCAAATTCATCGTATGAAATATTGGCAAGGCTTCCGAATTTTTTGTATTCTTCTCTAGTTTTTTAATCAAGTCTATCACTCTTTTCCAAGCATCAGTTGCTGCGTCATTTAATGGCAATCGTAATCTTATCACATTGGACTGCAATTTTGAATCTAAATTGTGAACAAGTGCACTTAAAAGGTTTCGTGCATTATCCAATTTTGGTAATTTATAATCCAGAGCACGATAAAAAGAATCTTTGAATTGTGCTGAAAGTAATAATTAAATTTACTTCAACTGATGATAATTTAAAATATATATGTACATGTCGCTTACACTTACGTGCTAGTTCTATTCCAACATCTGATACTTCACAAAATCCATAATTAAACAGGAATATCAATTGCTCAAGTCTCCAGTCCTCATCCAAGAATGTCTCTGGACGACCCATTAATCTAATGGAAAGAAGTGTATTTAGTGCAATAAGAAATATTAAAATATTTTAAAAAATACTACCATTTGTATAGTTATTACTAACTTATACTCACTTTGTTAGTAACTGTGCTACGTAACTTCGCTCGGCATTTGTCCAAAATTCTGTCTTTGTACCTTCTCTTTCTTTAGTTGTCTTATTTTCTATAATTTCTCTATAGAATTTGCTCAATTTCTTAATACCGTCTATTCTCAAATTTCCCATAATTACTTGAATCACTTTAATACCTGTTTTCTTTTCGATCATTAAGTCACCAGGATGTAATATGAATTTCTTCAATATACTGAACTGTATTTTTGTCTTCATATCTTTATCATTTGTAGCAGAAACTATCAAATGTAAAACTTTTCTGAATGCCATCAAAACTTCATCATTTGTATTCTTCTTACAATTTGAAAACCTTTTTAACATGTGCTGCAGAAGATTTGGAGACAATAATACAGGAATTATAGTTTTATCTGTAATATTAACAAGTATTAATCGTAACATTTCTACAGCTACGTATTCGTCACTCCTTGACGGTTTTATAAATTTTTGATCGACGCCTTTCCAAAAGTCTGCTACAAATTCGGTCGTTACCAGTTTTTCACAAAATAGTTTATACACTGGATGTTGATAAGAGATAATTCGAAGTAAAGCCTGAAAATAAAAAAATTTATTTAAAATTATGTTTTAACAAGAACACTTATTACGGAGTTAAAAATACACAAAGAGAGAAATGATTATGCAAGTCATGTTGTATACAGACCGTTAAAAGTTTAACAATATCGTCTATAGATTCCTTAGCAATTATCTCAGTTATGCCTAAGTGTTGCTTTAAAAATTTATGATTGACTAACAAAGGATGTTTATCTCTAAGAATAAGCAGCACATAGAATGTATCCAAAGTTTGTTCGGACCATGGCTTGCCAATTTCCTTCTCAACAATTGGCCAAACATTCTTTATAGATTCAATATCAAGCTGAGTAATAAACTCGCTGAGAAACATAGTAGAAATAAATGATAAATAGCTGCGTTGTTTGCCAGCATTTAATAGAATCTCCATAATCTGTTGTTGAAATTCAATGCTGTTCTGAGCAAGTAAGTTGGACCTAATCATAGCACCACAAAGCAATATATGGCCCATATATATGTCAGCATTCTCCTATAAAGAGACATTTTAATATTTGATTAAATATTACTCTCATAAAACAAATTAATAACATGATTATATATCTTACGCTTTTAAGATTACTCCCAGCTGGACGCAACTGGGTATTCATTATAGATAGAAGTTTTTCCACCGCTGTATCAGGATATATTGTCAGAAAAGCTGTCAAAGTACTATAGAAGCCTATTCTGGTAGATGTCAATGAAGATCCCAATCTAGCCACCATCTTGTCCAGAGTAAAATCCAATTCTTTGTCATTCTGATCCTGTAAAAATAAATACACTATGACATGATAATTTGGCAAGTACTTTACATAAATTAGATTTTCTTCTTCTTGATGTATAAGATTTAATATCCATTTCTATCAATGTAGTTCAACTTTAATCTCAGGTTTAACCCTTTATCTTTTTCTAGTTTTAAGAAATAAAAAATTTAGGAACTAGAGGATATAACTAAATTAAATTATTTAAACTTTAAAGCATTAAAGATTCAGCCTCGGTCAGAGTATTCTAATGTTATTGAATTTTTAAATTGACTGTTCAATAAGATTCTTATTAATTAAAATTTATGTTCTACGAATTAAAGCAACTTCGAGGCATTGAGTGACTCCTCGATCAGTCCACGAACTAATAATTCGTGGATTTGGGTTCGATTTCATCCACGTTTCACATACACTAGTTTTTGCATGGTCCTTATGGTTAACGTATTTACCGTAATATGGCGTATATGATTTAGAAGCGCGAGTCCGCTGTTTAATCTCACTGAAGAGTTGTTGTCCTTCAATTTGGTGAAATTATCCAATATGTTGGAATACTTTCTGCCCATTTTTGGCATTTCAGACTCATCCGAAATCATTGTCTCTACCATGTGCTTGCCGTGCGGCATACCATGTATGCACGGCAGCGGCCATCTTAATCTTTTTAATTGTTTCCGATCAGGGTTACCGAATTCTTAAAAAAAAATTCCCTGCATGACGCAATATGCATTCAGTGAAAACGCATTTTCGAGGCTTCGTTCCATTTATCCCGGATCTACAATACGCTTTTTAAGAAATTAACCAATTATAGTCGAATTCAAAGAGAATAATCGACGAATCATGGCAATATAACGATATTGCTTTAGACAATTAATTCAATTAATAATTTTAATTATAAAAGTTATTTAAATTTCTAACTACACATGTAATGCGTTTAATTTTTTTATTATGTTAAAGAACAAAAAATTAATAATTGATTGAAAAAAAAAAGGAAACAATTTCAACACCATCGCGACATCCATCTCTAATTGGCCATGCCGGCGATGCCAACACGCACCAAGCAGTCGTCGACCAATCGCGCGTCTATTCTCGTGGAAGCCGTGCTCATGCCGAGCGTTCGCGATTGGTCGATTTGACGCGTGCGTCCGAATGGATCCTCGATTTTGCTCTTGAAGTACGCTTCCGTATCGAGTGTCATTGAACGCGAGTCGTGGTTTTATTCGAATAAATTCAGCCGGCGGGCGAAGTTACGCGCGTACGGTCAATATATCACGTAGGTAAATTGTCGAGTGTTAAGGCGCGATGGTGCCGCGCACACGGTGACTGATTCGACTCACGCGGTCCCGGTTAGTTCCGTGCATTCAATATGGCAGGTCGAGGTGGTTACGACGATTCAAGGCAAGTATCGGCCGTGTTTGCGGTCGTGTCACGCGGCCGGGAGGGTCACGGATGACCGTGGCCTCGGGACGCACGTGCCGCGGATCCGACCGTCCGGGACGCGTGCGTTCCTCGCGCGTAAATCTCCCGGTTTTAAGGTTAAGTGAGTTACGGAGTGCAAGCGCAACACCTTGCGAGTTGCCGCGACACGCGGCTTTATTTTGGCCGGTCGGGTCTGCCCGGAGCCGCGGATCTCGGCTCCTCGACGACGCGGTGCGACGCGACGAAGCGGAGCCGCGGTCGGGAATGATGCACGTGCGGTGCACGCTGCGAGAGGAAGAGAGAAAAGGAGAGACGGTGATAGACAGAGAGGGAGGATGGATCGCGACAGCAAAGCGCGATCGTGCGATGTGTAGCGGCGTCGCGATTTTTGGTGAAGTGGCCGAGTGTGCTGTCAATATAAATCTCGTTTTTCGTCGTCGTCGCCGTCGCCGTCGCATGTTCCATTTATCCTGTCTCACGTCATCGTGAGATTTGATACACACATTCTCCTCACTTCACACATACACAATATTCGTGCGCGCGCGCGCGCGCGCACCTATATGGATATAGGCGAGCTTTCTCACTTGGAAAACTCATTCGGCTGAAATGTGTAATAATTAAGAAAAACAGAACGAATTCGTCGTTTCTTTATGTATTTTGTATAGTAGATTTGTTTTATTGTTGCACTGTACTGCAACTTTACTTTTTGCTTTTGTCAAATGTCAAACGTCAAACATATACCTACTTTACTTTAATAGTGTTTTTCATTGGTAAAACTAGTGAACACTGAGTGCACATTAAAGTTGTTATACACTATTCTAATCTGAAAGTAAAAGTGAGATATCTTAATTGATAAAATGCTCAATTTATATTTTATCAAATAGCACAATAAAATGTATTGAGGATTTCACAGTTTAACTCATTTCTATATTTTTTTATTAAGCTTGCATCTTTATGTAAATTTATGTACAATGGCTTTGAAGCGCACTAAATATGTACTAGCTCTACCAATATGAAAAATACTACAAGTACGATTCTAACTAGTCTAGCTATAAAAATATATATCGGCATGTGATATATCTATGATTTTAGAGAGCAGTCAAATGCGATTGGTACAGATTTATTTTAATGAACATTTATAATAACATTTGACTTTATTGAAAGAAATGAAAAGTCTTTTCTTCAGAAACTTTATCAACTAACATAACTAATAACTTATGACTGAAAAAGATGTATGTCCATAACTACCTTGCAGGTGGACATAATAATTTATAAACATATATACATAGTAAGATTTCAAACACACAATACAATAGTGATGATTGCATTTATAGAGATAGTAGTTTTTCAATTGTTATAAAATTCTTTAATACTATTAGTTCATACGTTTAGATCTAATAAGACACAAAAGGCAAGACTAATCATATTAAAGAATTTTACAATTGCAAATCTGCTTTTTCTAGCCAATGATTTAATATGTTTTATGTTTGTAAAGATAAGTAGCTGTAAAGATTTTTTTTTTATTCAGAGATTATCCAACTCATCGAAGTAGAAAACCTTTACCAACTGAACCACCATATACTGCATATGTGGGAAATTTGCCGAATGGAATTGTACAAGGCGACGTTGACAAAATCTTCGAGAAGCTTAATGTCAAAGTCATCAGATTAGTTAAAGACAGGGACACTGACAAGTATGTATTAATTGAAGAAGTAAAACTGTATATACTGATTGATTTTTTAATTTTTTTTGTATTTATAGATTTAAGGGCTTCTGCTATGTCGAGTTTGAAGACTTGGCTGATCTGGAAGCAGCGTTGGAAATGGATGGAGCGGTAGAAGTAGACAAATGTCTGATCAAGATTGATGTAGCAGAAGGAAAAAGAAATGACCGTGGCGGTGGCTTTGATAGGAGAGGTCGTGGAGGCAGCAGCAGTGGAAGTGGATTCAAAGGACGAGATTCCGGCCGTAGTGGATATGGCGATGATTTTGATAGTAAATCCTCATATTCAAGTAAACATTTATATGCTTTTATATTCAATAATAATAGAACAGCAGTGTACATTTTGTACACTAATAATACTAATGCTTATAATGCTAAACTAATTCTCTATCATAGATGTTTAATTTACTGCAAATATCAATGATAAAGATTCTTAACGTCTATTCACAGGATACAGTGATAGAAGCCTACATGGAGGTAGTAGGCAAGGTAACGATAGATGGGATTCTAGAAGTAATAGAGGCAATTACGGCCAATTCAATGACGACACAGGTGGAAATCGTGATTGGTCGCGAAGTACGTCTAGCAGGTCGTACACTAATAAACCTCCACTTCGGGGAAGTGGTTCAGACCGAAAACCCTTCGATGACCCCTATCAAAAAGATGCTCCTCCCCCAGGTATGTATATAACTTGGCATGAAACAGTGTCCTTTGATATAAATATGTGTTTATACCTGTATGTAACCCATTTAAGGAACAATAAATTAATAACATGTTACATTAAATACAATAAAAAATAAACTAATGATATATATATATATATATACATACATACATAAATAAATATATATTTTAAATTCTCTTCTAGGATTTTTATTAAATTATACTATATGATGCTTCTCTTATTATATAATAGAAATCCTAGAAGAGAACACCTATTTACATATATATTGTTAATTTGTTTTTATTTTTAATGTATTGTAGTTTATTGTTCCCAAAACGGGTTACACTCTCATTATTACACCACTCAATACTCAACTACTCGACTTTCACTTAAAACTTTATAATCAGTTTTTTACTGATTATAAAACTTACTAAAATATGTGTAAAATAAAAATCGAAATCAAATCTGAAACTTGTCAATTATAAGTCTGCTTTTACATGTGGATTTTACATATCATTTCAATGGTATTTCTATAATTTACAAATTTTTTACATGAATTTAGAATATATTAACAATGAAATCCAAAAATTAAAACTATATTATATTAAATTTCTATTAGATTGAAGATATATAAATTTTATTCAGAATAAAAAACCATGTGCAAAATAACTTTGGATGTTTTTTTAAATTTAATGTTTGTCACAAAGGAACATTTTTACTTAAAAAATTCCTTTTAATATATATAGAACGACTGAAAATCGAATCTGAGTTTCTTTGTTTAACAAAACAATTATTTTTTATCTATTATTTTATCTTTAAATAATTTATTATATATTATATATATATATATCTAATAGCACTTTTTTTTACTTTAGACACTACTGGAAGAAAACGTTTGGAGCTTCAGCCAAGGACTGTTAAAGAGCCTGTGAATTCAATTGCGGAATCAAGTAAAACAAGTTCCATTTACGGAGGTGCAAAGCCCAGAGAAGAAAAATTGAAAATGCTGGACAAGTAAAATTAATGATATCATCAATAGTCTCAGATTTCCTCGAGGAAATTGGAGAAAGAAACATTGTTGACACAAAATTTTAAAATCAATCCAAGATTCCCTCATAGTTTCCTAAAAATCTAGCGGTGATTCTTCGAACATTCACAATCAGAAAATACCCTTTTGTTTTTAATACTTACAAGGGGTGTTACCCGCAAAGAAGGATACACACACACAAACACATATACACACACACACACTACAGACATAAATCTATTATAGTTCTAAGGCTTTTTTTTTGCGCATTTTTAATCAAGAATAAAATCTTTTCTTCTAATATCTTTTGTATTTATAAATTAACTTCTCGATTCTCAATGAAAATAGAGTACTTGTAACTACAATATACATAAAGAGAAAAATGTGTATGCACAAATGCATGCTCCAATAGTGATAGCGATTTATATACATAAATGATTGTTAAGATGCTACGCAGTTGAGTACATTTTAATACTCGTGTCAATTTAATGTTGGGTTTTGTGTCTGTAATAATACTGAGGGTACATGTACAAACTATCACAAATATAAAATGTCACAGCATGTATATTTCATCTTACGCTAGTATTTCTTATCTGTACTTGAGACTAAGCCCGGGTTTAAAGAAGTACAAAGGAAAATGGCGACTATACTAAGTTTCGTTTCCTTCCATAGAATTTTTACGTTATACCGTACAACGCTGATCATTGTGTATCAATCGTTCGTTAAGGCATACGTTCGTTACGATAATAGGATACAATTGTTTAATATTACTAAACGTTTGTTTTTTTTTCTTTCCAATTGACCGAAATGATAAAGGATTGTGAAGTATAACATGCGAGTGATTCTAGAAATTTCTACATTATGGGAAGCGAATAAAGGGAATGCGCCGATTATTATATATTAATAATTATGTAATAAATTAACCAGTGCTAACAGTGACGTTGAGGAATTGCTAGGAACGTCGTGAGAATAGCGAATAAAATAAAAAAAAACGAAACCTCGAAATAATAATAAATATTATGTAAAACAATGCTTGTATATGATAATATTTCCTGAATAAAGTAGCTGTTTGCCTCGTATCTATGCAGTGTATTAGGGTAGGATAAGTGAAATCGGTTATGGTAAAGTAAATAAGCGAGATGTAATTTGTGAATAATATGCAATGCGTATTCGTAATATATTTTGTAATCGCGCCTTGTATCTCTCTCTCTCTCTCTTTTTTCTTTACGTATATTATTTGGACAAGTTCTGTGCTCTTTATTGAATTCTGTTTTTGCTTAAATAATAAATATAATATATATATAAAATTTACATTGAATTTTATCTGCTTAAATATAATAAATATATCAATAGTATGTTAAAAGTAAAATAATTTCATATGTAGTGTATATGTGTATGAGATTTATTGATACATTATTATTTACAAATGTATATGCATATATTTTAATTGATAATCTTTGCCGACGTCGATACATCACCGTGGATCGTCCTGATCAATATACGAGATCGCATGGCTTTTTGCGAGGGCGTAATGGAATGTCGTTCAGCTGTTCGGTTGCCACGCCTCAACTTACACCGATTCATCGTGTCTCCCTTTCCCCTTCCTCTCCGTCGCAGTCTTTGGTGTGGTGGAAGTCTAAACGCGATATCCTGTACAGTCTGCACTGCGCCGCCCGTTTCTTGACTTGAGACTCGCCGTCGTGCTTGAACACTTGCGACCACGCGACGCTTTCGGCGGCTACTGTAGCACAATTAGATCGCGGCGAATATCAAGCGATGCGGATCGAAGTTGGTTGCGTTTGAGACTGAGATAACCTGTTTCCCCATCGTGCACGCGTATCGACGCTTATCCGTCGCGTCCTGTCGCACGTTTTCGCTCGCGGTCACGTTGGTCTAGAAATAGCGGTCTAGAATTGACCGCGATCTTCGGCAGAAACACAGAGCTTGTCTACGGATTCACGCGTTCGTCGACATGTCGAGCGAGAGCGTGAAAACGGTAAGTACCTCCGCCTTACGTGTCACATGAATCGTAATGCCTGCCATTAGGCTTAATTAAGTAACTTTTGCGTATGTAAAAAAGCTGCACGACTGGTAAATGAAAAATGTTGTTTGCTGAATATAAATTCCTTGATAAATTCATGTGGTAATTTTATTCATAATAACAACATTAGAAATGTATGATATAGACTTTAATAAATTAATTTAACAAAATTAACTTAAATATTGTCAATGAGAACCAATACTGAATGGTAGAATGTAATCACATTTATTAACGATAAGAAATTTTTTTTTCCAGTTCGGTAACTGGGACCAAAATGTTTGTAATTCTTAATAAAATATTGAAAAATTAATCAGTTGAATGTACCTATACCAGTTCAAAAATAGATGAAATAATAATTTATAATATGTAAATTTCAATTTACAATTATAAATATCTTATAATAAAAAAGAGATTTATAATTCTAAAGTTACAATGATTAGGAATAAATAATAATAGAATAAATGGAATTTTGAATGTATCTTATTATGTTGCTGTAGATTTTGAAACATATTTGTTCTTTGTAGCTGATCTTATACAGTCCATCTTTTTTTTTGTCCCATGGGTAGAAAACAATGAATAGAAAAGAAAGAAAGATGAATGATTTCCCTAAAAAAAAAGTATAGATAATACTAGGTTTTTAATGTAGATTAATTTTAATCTCAGATTAACTCACTCTTTGTCTCTTTGTAATTTTTAGAATTAGGAAAAAATATGAATTAGGTTGAATCCAAAATTAAAGTTATGGGCTTTCTACGATAAACCATTATCTGATCTTTAAATCTTAAGTCTAAGAAATTGATCAATTATAGCTGATTATTCTCTTCTCACATTTGACTGTGATTGATCAATTTCTTATGGCTTAAGACATAAAATTTAGATAATGGCTTATCTAGAAAGCCTATTAATCTATATTAGCAGAAATTGACATGAAAAGAAAAATCTTTTATTTAAAGATACTACCATACAAGTTTTCTAAAATATGTGTTCTTTTTCAGTTTGCGAGCCTGGAGACACCTGGGTACGTGGGCTTCGCTAATTTGCCGAATCAAGTGCATCGGAAATCTGTGAAAAAGGGCTTTGAGTTCACGCTTATGGTTGTTGGAGAGTCTGGCCTTGGAAAGTCTACCTTGGTAAACAGTTTGTTCCTCACGGATTTGTACCCCGAGCGAATAATTCCTGATGTAGTCGGTAAGCTATAAAATTTATTTACTTTTTTCATATGACATACATGTGACATATAAATATGTGATTTTTTTTACAAATTTGTATGTAATTAAAATGTCTATTTGTACTTTTATGAATAGAGAAAACAAATCAAACTGTCAAACTCGATGCTTCAACGGTCGAGATTGAAGAAAGGGGCGTAAAACTTAGATTAACAGTGGTCGATACACCTGGTTATGGGGATGCAATTGACAACACGGATAGCTTCCGAGCTATTATTCAATACATAGATGATCAGTTTGAGAGATTTCTTCGCGACGAAAGCGGTCTAAACAGAAGGAACATTGTGGACAATAGAATACATTGTTGTTTCTATTTCATCTCTCCATTTGGCCATGGGTACACATTATTAAAATTAAAGTTTGTTTTAAAATTAAAATGTGAAGCAAATAATAGAATCGGTTCTTCTTTTCCTTCTTGCTGACCAGGTTGAAGCCATTGGATATCGAGTTTATGAAGCAACTTCATAACAAAGTTAATATAGTACCTGTAATAGCAAAAGCTGATGTACTTACTAAAAAGGAAGTCTTGCGCCTGAAAAAGAGAGTTATGGAGGAGATTGAAGGCAGTGGAATCAAAATATATCCTTTACCGGACTGTGATAGCGACGAGGATGAGGATTACAAGGAACAAGTACGTCAGTTGAAAGAAGCTGTTCCGTTCGCAGTGTGTGGTGCGAATACTTTGCTCGAGGTCAAGGGAAAGAGAGTACGTGGCCGACTGTATCCATGGGGCGTTGTTGAAGTGGAGAATCCCGATCATTGCGATTTTATCAAGTTAAGGACAATGCTGATGTAAGTTGTCGTTTTATTATGATATACTTAATGTTTATGTTGATATATTGCATAAATTGATATATCTTTTTTTATAGCACGCATATGCAAGACTTACAAGAGGTAACGCAGGAGGTACATTACGAGAATTACCGTAGCGAAAGATTAGCAAAGGGAGCTCCAGTGCCGCCTCGACGTCAAACAACGTGAGTATAAATATTTCATTTGATGATAAATATTATATTTTTGACGTATTATATTTATGAGCGTTACTTTAACTTTTGTTTCTTTCTTTACAGTATCGCAGAACCAGACAAGAACAGCACCGTATCGGAGAAGGATCGCATTTTACAAGAGAAGGAAGCAGAAATACGACACATGCAAGAATTGCTGGCTGTGATGCAAGCGCAGATGCAACAACAGCAACCTTGATCGAATATGCGTTTGTGTACCGACGTATAAAATGAAGGAAACGACTCCTCATTGTTACGCGAGTGCCAAAATGATTTATAAAACTTTTTTAGTGACTCACACTATCAAGGTCTTGATTTTGGCCGCAATATTTTTCTAAGCTCGTCTTTTATTAGGGAAATCTCATTTTGATACGCGCCACGCGTTTTATAGGTATATAAGAGTATAAAAATACTAATGTTTCTACATAGTATTAACTTTTAATTGTGATGGGAGGACTTTTGACGGCTCTGTTACGACATCCAATGCCTTGTCCATAAAGAACAGACTAATAATCTAAAATTGCAACACAATATGAAAACAAATGTTTGCATATCCAAGGTTTACAGGCAAGGCACTTAAGTAGTTTGTTCCTTTTGTAACAAAATTTATTCAAATGAGAATTGTTTTATTTCGAAGATTTTACTATGTGAGTACTTACTAGGAATTTTATTTAGATTTATTTTTGTGTTATGACAAAGAAATGTATTTGTCTTTGATTGAACAGTTTCTCATGTGATGTCTTAATTATTAACAAATTACCGAATGTTTTACTCATATCGTGCATTTTGTATAGGCATAATAAGAGAATATAAAATAAGATTTTATTATATAAGTAAAACAAGAGACCAATGAAACAAAATTGCAAAAGCAAATTTCTCATATAAGCTAACGCCTAATAATTCCTAATTTAAAAAAAGGTATACGCTCAGCTGTACACGCAGCATCTCTTATCAAAAGAAAATATTAGGAATCTTATACACATGACGTAGGAATTTTATCTCATATAATCATACAATAGAAAAAGTTATGAAAAGAAAGTGCCTTGCAACTTTTATCTATCTTATTATCATAGTAGAATCAACATATGTAAGAGATACAAACTTTTTTTATATACAATTATGCAAACAATTTGTTATAAACACTTCATTTGCATTAAAATAATCACTTTTACAATTGAGCAATATATTCGTAATAAGTTATAGATAAAACTTATATTGCTGATTGAATAAAGAATCTCATATTGAATTCATATAAGACAAATATATAAAAACTTTAAAAGGCTGATGCAATCCTGGAGTAAAAACATCGGACTAATGCGTCAGAATCTATTTAAAAGTAATTACATGTAACTATTAATATTAAGTGATTTAAAAGCAAAAAAATATGAATGTGCCATACCACTTTTTAAAAGAGAGAACAATCCAAAGTTAATTTTAAATGTATTTATAACATTTTATATATATATATTTTTTTTGCAATTGGCCATTCTCTCGGAACTTCTTTGTCCTGCGTCTTCTTCACACATATAGTCTACGAAACATATAAATGATAAATGTATTCCTAAATATTATATTCGACATACATTATAAAAGTAAAAACATAATGTTTAAGATAAATGTGGCTACAAATTTAGAAATTTATATGTGTATCACATACGAATATCTTTTCATGCGAATTGTTTCATGCAATACAACGAAACATGAAATGTGATTGATATAATTACATATAAGAGGATTTCGTATTTTAACGTGAAATTGGATAAATGTTAGATGATAAATTAATTAAAAAGGGCAATATATTTTACGCTTTTAATTCAGTCACACGATACTAGTTTTACGAGTATATTTACACTGCAAAACATTTCCATGTTTTTATACAGGAATTGTATAGATACGTAATTAGATAAATTTTTATATCTCTTTTATACAAATATATATCTTTTAATAATCTGTACTATGCAGTCTAAGATCTGTGCATATAATAATCTATCGCTGTTGAGAATGCTGCAAAGCCTGCGGCACCAACTATGCCTGCTTTTATACCAGCTGCAAAGAACGAGATTAAAATAAGTAAAAGTGGGATTAAATGAGTAAGTTCAAAGCATTAATATAAAATGCGCCGGAATATTATGAATACCTCTTAAACCAATTAACCCGCCTGTCAAACCGCCTGCGTATGTGCCGTTTTTCCAGTCAGTTTTACCTCTGTACTGAAATCAAGGCCACTTTCAACAATATGTTAAGGAAAATATTGTGCAAATAGATTATTATCCAAAAATAAGATTTTTAACGCTTATATCTGGAGCATTACCGATTCTATTGTGCACTCGATAGCAGAGAATATACATCCGACAACCGCAAAGTTCTTCGCGTAGCTAAGAGTCGTGATTTTCATCTCCTTTAATATCTCTCGTGCGCTCTGTTGCTTTTCAACGCTCGCTACGTTAGGATTCACGCTGGAAGAAAATAATCCGATGGCTGCTCCCAAACCATATCCTAAAACATGAATATTTTAATTAGCATAATATAATTTTGGCCATTATAACCTCATTCTTTGCAATCTAAATTATTTTTCACAAATAAATAAATTAAAAAAATCTTTGTCATCAAGAGAAATTCTATAGATTCCAAAAATACAATTAAAAATATCATATATAATTGTGTGTGTGTGTGTGTGTGAATGTATTTTTAGAAATATCTATAAATTCCTCTAAATAATAAGGATATTTTTTAATTATAAAAATTAGAAGAAAATAAACAGTAAGTTAAAGCAGGATTTAAAATCTTACTTTGGTGAGATCAATTCTTAAGAATCTATTTAGATAAATCTACAAAACTATATAATTATATGAGTAATATAAAGAAAATTATTCAATATCACATTTCCATGATAAGGTTGCACATGAAATTCAATTGGATCATTTTCTTTATGTCCAGTAATACTAACAGTATAATAAATCAATATTCTATTTTTCTGTTCAACAATATAAATATTATATAACGCACATACATAATAATTACATTGTTAAGTGGGAAATTATAATATAACACTGATATTATTAGTGCTTTCTAACACAATATAATACAGTGATAATTTCGTCTTTGTTTAACACTGGTAAATATCATTGTATCTTCATAGATACAATGATTGTGTTAGGCTGATATTACATTTGTCATACAATAAATTTTTCAAGCATTGGCTGCAGAACAAAGAGATCCAAGAATCTCTTGGTCCTATAGTTAATCAACAGACTCGAAAAAGTTTGTCCTACAATAAAAAATAAATAAATATAATATTAGCCTTACACTGTCTCCTGCTAGAAAGTATCCATTATGTTACTGTTAAGTTACTGGATGGTTATGCAGTGATGTAAGCTTATTTCAATAGATCCTTAATTGACATATAGATCTGCAAAGGATTAAATATCTAAAATTTGTAATATTTTGATATTTGTTTATAGAAACAAACGGTAAAAAAAACACACCGAGAACACAACTCATAATGCTCTTAAAAGCACAGCTTTCCATCACGCTGTCTATTCTCTTCTCCTCGATGGTCTTTATCTGCACAGGTCCTAGCGTTCTGGGGATTATAATGTTTTCTCTGAAGCGTTGCTGATTACCAACAAGGAACAAAGCGATCTTATCGAGGTCAGCGTCGCTCAGGAACACTTTTCTATCGGCAGTCGCCGGTGGAATCGTCTTCGTCAGATCAACAGGATACATTTTTGTAATGTTTGCGACGATTTAAGCCTCTCAGTCTAATTTGTGCGTCACGTCAGGATGTGACAAGTTTCAAATATCTGTTGACTAGCAAACTCATCTCGCCGCATTAAATCGGATTCTTAGCAAAGTGACCTGAAATACGAATTAAACGTCGCGTCGCATAAATTTGAAATAAAAGTCACACACGTTGAAATTAAAATTTCATTAGATCGACCAGGCACAAGATTACATGTACCCAGTTGCACACAACGTGTTTACCATGCTTTCTAACCAAAAAAACTGCTAAAGTTCAAGAGATTGAAGATAGTCGCAATTAATATCGATATATATCGATAAAGAAGAAAAATCGATCAATTAACAATATCGATATCTCTCTTTGAAACAAAAACTTAAAATATTAAATAAGCAAATTATTCAATAAATTTTGCATTAAATATTTATAAAGATCCAAAAAGACAAAATTTAATCACACTTGCCCTATTTACATGATTCATTTTATTCTCTCATGTACAATATATTTATGTTTAAGATACCTACATACTTAGATAAATACTTTAAAAAATCAAATTTGAATAACGCTGTTACATAAAATGCAATCGAATGTTCATATTGTATAATCGTCGGATGACATGATGTCAATATCACAAATTTTCTTCGTCCTTGTTATAATAGCACGTATGCAAAATAAAAATATATTACACATTGTATACTATATTGTATATTTTATTATATACAGCATTTAATTATATACTAAATAACAAAACCATAAAATAAAATTGCAATTTTTTAAATAAAGTAAAACAACATTTAAATTACATTCTTGATAAATATTTATATCTTTGGAAGATAAAAACATATAAACGTCTATAATACAAAATCACATTATATTATAAATGCTGTATATGTTAAACCGAGCTTATTTTATGCGTCTCGCACTTTTTTATTACCTATACCTTCTGCGCCTAGTGACTATAAATAAAAAAGGGAAATACAAACCTGAAGATTATTTATCCCTTGAAATCAGTTGTATTTCTTTTTAATATAAGACTTTTTCAGTTTCTTGGAGCGTAGCTGATTCATACGAGACATTACTGTATATATTCCAGGCAAAAGTAAGAAGAGTAAATAAAGTCTTATTAGAGTTGGGAAGTGAAAAGCAAAATTGTAACTGTTTGGCAAAGAAATTGTAAATTTCTGAGTTTCCTCGAAGTACGGAATGTTTCGTAGCATTATAATACCCTCACATATGAAGCCCAGCGGATACAATGGTATCCATATCGTGTATCTTAGCCACGTTAGAAAGGATATCTTAATGTTTAACAATTGCGTGATGTAGTACGGATATCTAATTATTTCTACCGTGCTCCATATGAGAAACAGGTAGAAGACGACCGGTTTGGTTTGCATACGAGGCTCAGCGTCGATCATGCAGAATAGCATAAACCCTCTACCTCCCGTTTGTAGAAAAGACACCAACACGCTGCTCTTTGTATATCCGAATAATGGGTGCATTATCTCTAAAAATTGTAAAAGTTGTATAAACTTCAATGGATTGCCAACTGCGTCAAACGTTTCTTTCATGGAGTCTGCAAAGATACATTACGTTAATAAAACATTTCTGAGAAACAAGATCATTCACTGTTATAAATATCAACATGAAGACATAAGGAAGCTCCAATATAATTTCTAAAGCTTATTTTTCATTAAAAGAATAAAATACTTTGTAGTAAGGTATATATATACCTGGTCCATCGCGAGAATATTTTATAGCCATTACAGCAAACACATAAATAAAACCAACAAATTGACAGAGATTATATATGACTAGATACACCTTTGTAAAATCCTCTGAAAAAATAATATGACACATTAATCTTGTAATATTACTAATTATATAATAATAAAAGTTATCAATTTGTGTGTGTGTGTGTGTGTGTATATATACCTTTTCTATATCCAAATTCTTCTTTGTGCAATTTATCATACATATCAGGGTAATCGTTAAGAATGTTACGCTTTTCGTCCTCATTGTCGTCCATGTCTTCACTTTTCCATTTGTCAAAATCGATCTTGAGCCACGAGGGCTTCTGTGGTTGACTTGTTAGTCTCGGCCACCAACCATTATAATTTTTTCTTAAGACAAAGTCTACCTGACGATCCTTTATCTTGTAACTACTCTTCTGGAATAAACATTCCATACAAATTTTCTTTAATATAATTGTATCAAATAAAAAATTAAAAAGTTAAAATGTAGCTTAATAAATAATAAATAAAAAGAGCACATAGCCACATATAGAACCTTGTTAGTGAAAGTTATTTATTTAAAATTTATTTTATGCTATCAAGATTCTATATGTAGCTGTTTGCTATTTTTATTTATTGTTTGTATTAAATATACATAAAATTAATTGAAACTGTTACATTTGGATCGACAGATGAGTGAAGATTTAAATCAAAGCTGTAACTGTTCATTCCTCTTGCTCCATGTCCATAAGCTATAACTTGCAATGTAGTTTTATTTAGATCGACATCAAGATGCTGCAAAATAAGACATATAATTATAACAATTTATATTAGTATCACAATCAAAACTTTACACATACAAACATAAAGCTCTTGTATATCCTTTCATGCATAATGTAACGTACCTCTACATCAGTCAAGTCTACTTTCAACGTAATTTTACTCTCCGTTTGGGCCCAATATACAAATGGAGTGAGCATGTTGGACATTTTATCATAGCAACCTGACGAACAGAAATCTATCACCGTCTTGTTATCAGTAACAACTTATTATCGTTTACCTCTCTGCAGGTTCTAAAAATTCTGCAGCAACATGCGCACTGACGCTTTTATTTTAGTTTTCTACTTTGCACTTTGTTTGATCGTTCAATTAAAGGTAAATAAGCAGAGAAAAACCTCTCATTGTGTGTGTGTGTATGATAATCATTACATTGTTTCACATTAGATAATATGAAATGACGGGACCAAACGACGTATAAGGTCAATCGATGGGGTGAAGGAGACAGTCAGACAGGGACATGGGCAACCGGAGTTGCTGAGCTGGACAGCTCTGGACTGGAGTGCCAAAGTCTTAAGGTTTGTTTGCAAGGCTGTGTTGAGCTGTCCTTAAAGTCCATTTGCACAGAGATGCTCCTTCTAGATGTGCCTACTGTGTTGCACTTTAAAGTAAAAAATACACGAGATCCATTCACATTATTTGCATTTCTTGCATTCAGCATCTTTTCTTTCTCTCTTTTCAACGTCTAAATTTTTATTTATCTCGTTTTAAGTGCAAGTTTTTTTGAAGATTTCAAGTAACGCAAACCTACGATTGGACGTGGAGCAGAAAAGGAGGGTAGATGAAAAGTGCAAAAAGTTCAGCTCTCTCAGGAGGCTGTTCTAACCTGTTCTAATCTTCAACATGCCACGCGACGTTGCATTGTTTACCGTGGAGGGAATCCTCGGCAGACGCCAAACGCGGACGAGGGATTTGGTGCCAAAGCGCGTGTAGTCTCACTGGCGATGTAAATTTTCGAAAATGACAAACGCCGAGGTGCTACAGCTGGACGTGTGGAAGGGCGATTGGGGCCTGCCGTCGGTTGACATAGAATGTTTGCAAGTTTTGGTGCGTTGAATCAATGAGTATAGGTTATGACACGCGCACGCTGATTGATTTCAATACGGTCTCGTATTCATAGAATTCATCAAATACGACACGTGTGAGAAACATCGAGTACCTTTCCCGCAGCATTCTTCGACCAACTTAAAAATCTTTGAAAAACGCACCTGCAGCTCCAGAGTGATTATCTTAATTGAAAATAAGGGGTTCTTGGCGGACTTTACTTTTAAAAGAATAGCAGACGATAAAGCGATACTCTAATTTTTATTAAATTTTAATAGAATTTTCATTCAAAATTTATTTGCAAAGATGCATAATATTCTGGTTGGTCGAAGAAGAATTGAAAGGATATTTGCTGCCTTAGAAATGTATTGAAAAGCAATTCAAATATAGAGGTATCAGGATGTCTAAACTTGACTGGATACAATACCAGAATATAGGCCCAGTAAAATGAAACCAAGAAAGATATAAAAATAAAACATACCTAACTGCTTCATTATATCTAAGTTGATTTGTTGCAAGTTGAGTACTAATTGTGTTTCAACAGCTATCCAAGTCAAAACAATGATCTATATACTATTAGAAATTATAATCATATTGTTATTAGAGATTTAATGTCTATTAATTTATTTATGTCCTAATTTATCTAATAATAATGTAACATCTTGATGAGGTTGTAACTCATTTCTTAATACAGTGTCATGTTATTTATAGGCATATGCCAAATTCAGTGGGGTACCTTTAAAAATAAATCTAGCAAGCAATCCATTTAAAACACCAAATGGTCGATTACCTTTGCTTAAGGCTGGTCGACGTACCTTGGATACAGTTAAAGATATATTGCCCTTTTTTAGAGCAAAACATTATAATTCTGACTATACTTTAAATGATAAGCAATGCGCAGACGTCATGGCTTATGATTCTTTGCTTAAGGAAAAGTTGTATCCAGCCTTCCAATTTATATGGTATGAGGTATAGAAACGCCTATTAGAATAAAATGTAATTTATTGTTTATGAAATCTCAACGTTATTAAAATTAATTTATTCATAATAGAAAGAGAAATTTGTTATTAATTCTATTGAAAATCTGTAATTAAATGTATTAAAAAGTAATTTATTTATTCATCATTGCTGTTGTTAAGAATTTTTCTGAAAGATTGACATTATCTTCAAATTTTTACTTACTATTGTTTTGTTTAAAATGTTAGTTTATTAAATTCTACAGAATTTTTCTAGTGCTTTAAGTATAATCAGGAAAAGAAATTGTTAAGAAAGGCTTTCAGATATTATCTAAGAAAATGATTTTCCAATATGCAAAACAAAATTCATATTTGTATCTAAATAATAAGATAAATTGTGTAAGATAAGTTTAATAATAAAATAAATAAATTATTTGTCTCAACTAAATGTTAAAATATTTTTAAGTATGAAATGCATATTATTTTGGGTATATATATATATATATATTAGAAATATATATATATATATTTCTAGTATGAGATGCATAATATTCATTTCATACGTGTTTGCCCAGTCCTTTATATTTCATATAAATTATGTTAATAGCATTAGCAGGTACATTTTAATACAATTAGAGTCTTATGCAACATCATTGCTTTTGTAATAATAGCACAAATAACACAAGTATCGCTTCAATTATTTTTAGGTGGATAGATAAGAAAAATCTAGACGATTTAGTTAGACCATGGTACTGCAAAGCGCTGCCTTTTCCATTTAATTTCTATTATCCAGGAAAATTTGAGCGGCAAGCACATACCTTGATGCAAAGTTTATATCCTCTAGAAGATAATATAAATGTTATAGAAAATGAGGTATGTATAATAAGAATGCAGAATAATTTAAAATATATTAAATGCTTAAGAACATATTTACATAATGAGAGAAAATGTAATGTTTAAATGCAAAAAATCTTATTTAAATTAACTTTAAGCATTTATGTAACAACAGGTGTATTCAGAAGCACAAAAATGTTTAACGCTATTATCTATAAGACTTGGAGATAGAGATTTTTTTTGTGGACAACAGCCTAGCACAATAGATGCCATTATATACTCTTATCTGGCACCGTTGCTCAAAGCTCCATTACCAAATCCAGTTCTACAAAATCATCTGAAAGCCTGTACAAATCTAGAGAAATATGTGTCGCGTATATCACAGAGATACTTTGAAGATGAATATCAGACTTATGAGAAGCAGAGAGCTGAAAAGAATGCAGAAAGATTAAGAAGAGACTCTGAAATTGAATTTCCCAATAAAAGAAGAAATCAGATTCTTGCTGCGCTTGCCGCTACAATAGCAATGACCGGATATGCATTATCCACTGGTATTGTAGAGGTAAGTTTTGTTTATACAGAAAAAAATATAGTAGAATATCATAGACTCACGGAGAATTCTCGCGACAGAATTTATGTTGGATATTAATTGGTTTTCCTATCTTTTTATCTTTATTTTTCGAACATTTAATATGAATAGTTTTTATCATAATGAGACAAATCAATATATGTATTATATTTATTTTTACTTTTATAAATATGTACTATAGTAAAGTTTTTTGCATGAGAAAACTTTTTTTATGTAATATAATATTTATATTTTTACTTAGATTGGACATATTTTGTATAGCTAAATGTAATGTTTATAATCAATTTAGTAAAATATATCTGTGATATAAAGGAAGCATAAAATTCTTTATCATAAAAAGAAACTATTTATATAAATTTTTCTAAAAAAGAAACAGTACAAATGAAGGTTGAAGCTACAAGTAGCTTTATTTGTAGGTGCTAGTATATTTGTTAAGAAGCAGAAAATTTATTAAAATTCCTAAGAAGAAAAGAAAACGTGAGTATATATTAGTTGCACATTGATAATATATTTTTACATGGAAATTAACCAATTAATATCAATTTTTGCATATAATAAATACATTTTTGTTTCTTATCGCATACATCTTAAAAGATTGCGATAAATTCGTATATTCGCAAGTGGTTAGATAGCTTATTTTTATTTAGTCTTTAAAGTGGAAAAAAACTACATTCCTGTGTAAATAACACGGGGGGGGGGGGG